GAACCCGGCAGCTTGGCCTCAGTTAATCCGTTCCCCCCTCCCCCTCTCAGGCCCCCCCACCCTGATGTATGTGATGTATTGTGACGAACAGTTGTACTGAAACTGTAATTTCCCTCTGGGATTTTTAAAGTATGTCTGATTCTGATTTTGATTTAGCTTGTGGTCGAGGAGCAACGACCCCAAAATACTTTCCTTGAACACCCCACAATCACTCTCACATCCGTAGGCTCCAACATCCACCATTGTGAAGTGATATCTTGCGTCGCACATCGCTAACAACACAATGGATGGACATCCTTGTAGTTGAAGTAGTTGCTCCCTGATCGTGGGGGGGGCTTCATGGTGACGTGTTTGCCATCGATACTTACAACACAATTTGGGAAGTTCCACATTCTTCAGTAGTCTGCCGCGATGTTTTCCCACATGGCTGGTGTGGGTAATGACAGAAACTTTGGCTGTAGTGCCGTCCACAGCGCCTGGCCCACCTCGGACACCATCCCAGACACCGCGGAGGACGCTAGTTTGTAGCTCTGTGCGACAGTCTGTTGGTTTGCACCCAAAGCTAAAACACGCAGGGTGATGGCCAGTCTTTCAGGAACGCTCGTGGGTGAACTGTGTCTCGTTTGGCGGTGGACGAGGGGTTGTAGACGGCGAACAATCTCGTCAAACCAACACACGGACATCTTGAAGTACTTGAAATACATTTCCTCGTCATCTCTCATCAGCTCGGCAAAGAACTCATGCTCTTCCTCAACACTGAAGTCCTCAGACATTTTTCTTTCGTTGTTTCTTTCTTTGCACAGGTAAACAGCACATTTCTTCTTCTACGCTTGCATTATTGGCAGAGCAGACGCTGAATGCGCACTTTCATCTGGTTTGGTCTGCCGGCTTCCGTAGGCTCGTGAACGCGCATGTGCGCGCTTTCAGGAAATCCTATACACTACTGTTTATGCTCTAAAAACATTCTAAATGACTTCGTTTCGAGTAAATTCTGGATGCTACCGACTCAGGACACTTGGAATACATTGGACGAGCAGTATGGAGGAATATTGACACGTTTTTTGTGGACTTTTATGGACCTTTCTGTCTCGGTCACCATAGACCTCCATTATTTGAATGTCAGCAGACAGCAAGAAGCCTCCCAGATCTCCAGATGCATTTGAGATATCAAAAAAGTACTCCAGAGTGTTGTTCAGCATGGGGGTGAGTAGAAAATGAAGGCTAATCATGTTTTGGGTGTACTATTCCTTTAAGTGCAAGGGGCCTATATCATGTAAGATAAAGAGATAAAGCATGTATATGTATGTATACACATATATATATATATACAGTATATACTGTACTTAATGTTTATAGATGAACTGCATCTTAAAATATCTGAGATATTTTCAGTTTAAACATACTGTAGACATGGAATAATACAATATAACCTAGAATAACTCAAATTATATCATTGTACTAGCTCATCAAATCAATCCAATTTAGTCTGTCAAATAAGCTGCCTGTAGTGTCTATAGAGGTCCAGCAGGTGTCAGTATTCTGTGGGAAAATATAAACGCAGCATCAACACAGTCTGTGGAAATGCTTCAAGATGCCTCAATAACTAATGAACAGAGATGGGAAGTAACGAAGTACAAATACTTTGTTACTGTACTCAAGTAGATTTTTCTGATATTTTTACTTTACTTTACTACTTATTTTTATGGCGACTTTTTACTTCTACTCAGGGACGTCTCTAGGTTTAAGAGACAAGGATGGCTCAGCCCCTAGAAGATATTGCGTGCGCGTAGCGCGCGCCAAAATTTTTTCAGTGCACCTGCTAAGGCGTTGTGTAAGACAAGGGTGTAACTTTGTGTTGAAAGTGTGGTAAATTCCCCAGTTGCTCAAGTTTACGCTTCAAAATTGAGCATAAATCAAAAATGTCTGCGTCAAGCTCACTGCGACACACTGCTGCAGAAGTATAACCAGCCTTTAAACATGCTGTGACTCTGACTGCAGGGAGGAGAGGGACTCCTGTGGAAGCAGCACAATGGGGTTTCACGCAAGGGTCTCTTAAAGCCGCCACTGACACCAGAAAAGTCGCTAGTCGCTTTTTAAAAAAAGAGTCAAGGGGGAGGGGTCTGAAAAGTAAAGAGTAAGTGATGGGGCTGGCCCACACACGCTGAAATTAGGACTGGCCCACTGGGCAAATGCCTGGTAGATTACCAGTCCGAGCCTGACTGGGGTGTTCCATATTTCTTTTAGAGTTGTAACTTGAACAGATAGTAGTTCACATATTTTCAAATTTAGCAAATGTCCTGAGGCCCCTGAAAAAATGTATTTTATCTGTTTCTGTTGGAATTTGGGTAGTGTTATCTACTAACTGGCTAATGTTTAATTCAGGTACAGTTTTTAGGTAAATTGCTAACATTTCTGTAATTCAAATGAACAGATATGGGTAATTTGAATATCCTTGAAGAATACCGACAATGGTAAATCTGTCATACCTTTAGGTAGTTTTAAACAACCATTTATGTTCTGATACAAGTCTCTAAATTAATTAACAACTTCTTCTCCAAAGCCTAAATATTTAATTACTGAAAACAAAAAATGGTGTTCTAGGGAATCAAAGGCTTATAGAGATTAAAGCCTTCATTGTTGATTAAGTCTCTATATTCGATTGAATCCATAACTGTTCTAATATAGTTGTGGACTGATCCTTCTTTTGAGAAGGCAGATTGGGATTCTGCAACAATATGTGAGATTCCAGTTTGTAGGCACATGGTAAATATGGAGTTTAGCAACTTTTAAACTGAACTTCTGAGCGTGATATGCCTTCTGTTCTCAATAAGTCTTTGGTCTTTACCTGTTTTGGAGATGGATAGAATAACACCTAGTATAATTGTAGGAGGTAAAATATAGTTATATAAAATTTAACGATAAGCGTTTAACAGCTTTGACAAGTTCTTTTAATGCTATATTAATATCACAGGTTCGTTTATAATCATCTTCCATTTTTTTTATACATTTTCAGTCTGGATAAAAAAGACAAGACTTTTTGGTTCAGAAAATCTGGAGGTTTATAAGTTAGTAGTTTATAAAATGTATCGACCACTTGCTTTTGTTTTTTTAATTAAAAATAAAAATATCTTTACAATTTTTTGGAAAGACTTTCTAAGAAAATGTTGAGATCAACTGCTCCAAAATCAACTGATGAACTACAGAACAAGTACAGATATACAGAAATACATTATCTAAGGAAATTAAATTATTATCATTAGTGTAAGCTCTTCAGATGTGGCCACTTTCTAAATGCTCACACACTGGAAACAAGAAAAAAACTCTATAGGAGATGAGTCGCCTTAAATTCTGATAACTGTGAAGGAAGTAAAGGCAAAAATACCTCCTGCTTGTTTCCTGTATAGCCAAGCTTTGTATTTCATCAATACATTGAGTGTTTCACTTCTCACTTCCATAGTTCACTGCTTCTCTATCAGTTAGTGTGAAGCTAAACATGATTCCACAAAGTAACTAAAAGAAGAATCAAATACTGAAAAAATAAGAAAATTTGTCTTGAATTGACTGTTCATACCAAGGCTTATGTTTTCTGAAATTTGTTTCTAAATGATTTCCAATGATAAAGAATAAATATCTAAGAGTAGTAGAGTAATATCCTTTATTGTGCCATGCTTTGAAAATTCAGTTATATCAGCTGCAAAGTAAAATGCAAACAAAAGCAGGCAGATACATACAATTAATGTAAGGAAAGGATATACAGTGCATATGAACAGACAGGTCTTTCAGACAGATGAAGGCCAATTTAATTTTCATTGGTTAAACATTATACTTTTTCTTTGTATATCTGTGTAAAGTCTGAGCCAGCTTATAGTAATGCATAGCAATGTATTCCTGATAGAAGAAAACAGTGGATGAGCAAGGTGGGGGGCCAGGGGTGGCCATGGCCACCCTTAGCCAATCAATTGCCACCCCTGTGGCCACCCCTACCATTTTTCCTCGCTAATACAGACGGTGGCAGCAGCAACACTCTAAAGTGGAATATTCAAAGCATTTTAATTTTTCATATATTAACAATAACTTCACAACAAAAACACTTAGGTTAATTATGCTCATCAATATACTAACATTAAAGACGATAAGTATGGAATTTATCTACTTTTCAGAACTAAATTTTGTTTTACATGGTGTAAAGAGAAAAGGATGTTTCTCTGCAAGTCATCTAGGATTCTTCAGTCAAATCATAAATTACTATTTTAATAAAAACTTATTAAATAATCAATTTATGTAGATATTAGTACTTGTAAATATCACTTTTTTGCAGAGGGATTATTGATAAAAGTAGGTAAGTAATGACAATGAAAAAGATGTTTGCCCCAGAACTGTTTCAGACTTGAGATGATAATTAATTTAAAATGGATCATATGTCACACTAGGATTTTTAATAAACTTCAGCCACTGGTGCATATCTGCAATGTTACATTTATCTTACACACATTAGAGGAGACATAATACCATTCGGTTTACCATGTGGGAAGAAGAAAAGTAAAACAATACTTTCATTAAAAAAAGCAAAATATAATTACAATACATTAAAACAGTGTTCATATTGAACTTCTGTTTTTGATTCAAACATGTCTTTAAAAAATGTATTGATGTCAATTTTTTTTTTTATGAAATAAAAACTATTACAATAAAGACTTGCGTCATGCTAATCAGTAAATCATAGTAAAAGCAAAAGAGTTCATAATTCAGCTGCTGTTTGAAGGCATCCTCCTCCTCTAATTCACTGGATGCGCTCTTCCTCTTGACATCCTACGGTTTCCTGTAGGAAAGGTAATCTATAGGTTTTAATGATTAAAAGACAATGATGGCTGCTGAGTAACATGACTAAGGCTGAAACAATTAATCCGATTAATGGCGATTAATCGATTATTGAAATAACACAGCAACCCTCTTAGAGCAGTAATTATACTGAAATTGTAAAAAAAAAACACATTTAAGACAATAAAAACTTTCTTCTTTCAATATGCTCTAGCCAGAACTCCTCAAGTGGAAAAGTTTTAGTTTCAACTGGTTTAATTTTGAAAAAAGTCTTCTTTAAGGAACCCTCTGCTATCCGATTATTAACCAATTAATCGAAAAAATATCTAACAGATTAATCGATTTGCAAAATAATCTTTAGTTGCAGCCCTACACACAACTGTGACAATCGATGAGTTGGAAAGAGGCCAGAGCTGTTAAACTAGATCTACTCTTTAAATGTTGAGTTAGATTTAATAGAGAAACATGACTAGAATACTTTTCTACACCTGTTAACCACTAGTTAACGAATTACAAATAAACTAAAATTTATCTTGTGACTAATAAAATCTGTAACAGATCAATATTCAAATAACAGACTTTACAAGTAACATCATTAAAACTTGATAATGTGACCCCTTTGCAGTTTGGTCTAAATATACACACAGTGCCACTACAAAGTATTCACACCCCTTCAATGTAACGCAGAGACACATTAGTTCAGTTAAAGCAGTCCATAACGAAATCAGTTAACAAGCAAACAGAACAAGAGTGAGACTAAAATAATATAAAGCTAGGAAGGTTAAAAGCAGAGCAGAAATTAGAATGAAATACATTCAAACTGGGAGCTCTTCTCAGGTTTTATTCTAGAAGTAGTTCATATTAATGCTGTTTTTTTTATAAGCTACCTTTCTGTGGCACAGTTCTTTTAACACAGCTTTATGAAACAGGCCTATAGTTATGGCGACTAGTTTCTTTTAAACCTCAACCTGAAGTTAAGGCTCTGAAAAAAGCCATGAAAATCAGTTTTTACTTTTAGCATCATGTCACTTATCAAATTGGATTAAATGACAGTTTGTTCCTACATAGAAACATAGAAAAAAACTATTCAGGATCTCATAGAAAATGGAACAATGAAACAATGAAAATGCAGATGAAAAATAATAAAAACGTTTTGCATGTAAAAAAGAAAGAAATTTGTGATAATTGAATATTTTCCAAATTGACACAAAACCATATCAAAGACTAACATACAGCAGTTTCTCTGTTGTTCAGTGACTATTAGTCACATAACTTTGGTATAAACAGACTCTAGTAAACTTAATGTCTGAAAACATTCAAAACTTCAAATAAAAAGTCCCTGCAGTAGTGGTACATAGAACCGGAGAAACAAGTTTTAGTTGAAACAGTAAATATATACTGGACTGAACCTCAGACTGAGGAACTGAGCATAATTCTGTGTAATCCAACATCTTTTGCTCCTCTAATGATCAATTTATGTGAAAATGGAAAAGTGTAGCTAATGTGTGACAGAAAGGAAAACATACCTTGATTAACAAATAATATTTTACAACTTTGAATGTTAAACTTTAACAATAGTTTCTTGAAAAGATAGAAATTTGTGAGAAATAAACTACATGGAACCAATTTCATTGTCTTAGTTTGGATTGGATCTTGATTAAATGGTTAAAGTTACTTCTCTTTAAAACTGTTCATTATTAACAAAATACATTTTTGATGGAATCATATTAACAGATAAACTCTTTATATGTCCTAAAAACTGTGGAAGGAATTTATCCTTGTGTAATTTTCTTAAACACCAAATGCTGTAAAATAAACACCAATAATTTCTATTGATAAACATCATATCAGTTATTTTGTTTCATTCAAGGGACTCTCTTTAGGATCCATTTCTTTTTGCCCACATGCAAAAAGTAAAGCACATTTATTTAAGCCATTTTCTTTGTTCAGAGATACAGAATATGAGGCTCTCTATAAAAATCCCTCAATTTTCCATCACGCTCATCCCTGCTATCCACTGTGCAGGGTTACACATTAAAAATATCATTCTGTTAAATAATGTGAATCATATCTCTCCCTTAAAGGTAAAAAATACTAAGCAGCCTCCATTCAACAGCAGCTCTGAGCTAAACAGCTTAAACACAGGTTAAACACAAGTTTACCACCGAGTTCAGAAACAGGATTTTAGCTGAACAAAACACACAATTTATATCTAAGAATGACGCACCAATGAACATAACATAATAAACTGAAACACATTTTTTTCTTTTCTCATCTCTGTAGTAGTTGCTTGGGGCACTGAAGGGCCTGGTTATTTATAAATAACTAGGACCATTATGCTGAAATTAAAGAAAATATGATTTGAATTTGCTAATCTGGACAAAAAAAAAGAAGTGTTAAATTACAGGATAAAGAAGCTCTTAGTTTTGAAAAGGACTAAGACTAAAACCTTACTTTGTTTTCAGGAGGAAGATTTGCACATTTCTGAGGTTTAGAAGAAATTTCATTTTCCTCATACCCGTCAATCTTTTGACAATTTATATATACCCAGGTAATTTGAAAGATTAAAGCTTACCAGAATGACTAAAATCCCAATGACAGCGATAATGAGAACACTAACAATGATGAAGGGACGAGGAAATATCCTGCACCTGAAATAAAAATAAAGATGAGGATTAGATCACTCTCACAATTAATCAAAACAGTTATCTTCAGTCAAACACCAGAGGAATGGCACGATTTAGATGATTCCCCCCAAAACATGAGATTACCACCAAAATATCACTAAAATGTTTCTTCTCTCCACAAATCAGTGGTGACTGCCTTATCACCAGCCCGTCAGCATTAACCATAATCAGTGACCTAAACTTTTAGGCCAGAGTTAAGTCTTAGTTTCTCAATTAACATGCGACCACAAAGCCCCTGATCCATATTAGTTTCTCTTCTTGAATATTTTAGTTCAATGCAGTGAAATCAGAAGTTGTATCTTCTCTCATGGTGCTGGGATTGTGGAATCAAGCAGCATGGTGTATAACTAGCAGAGGCCTTTTATGGGTTGCACTGCAAAAACGATCTTGAAATAAGTAAAAAATTTCTTAAATTGAGTGTATTCACCCTTAATTTGAGCAGGTAAATGAGACAGTTTGCCAATGGAATGAGTAATTTTACTCTTAAAATAAGATAATTAGATAAAATGCACTTGAAATAAGACAATGCAATTGTGTTTTCTTATTTTAAGTGTAAATTGTCTTGTTCCACTGGCAAAATGTCTCTTTTACCTCCTCAATCCAAGAACAAATGCACTTATTTTGATAAAAAATGACTTATCTAGATTCAGATTTTTTGCAGTGTGGGTTACGTATGTTGGTGTACCAGCCCTGTAGCTCCTCCACAGGAGCACAGGTGCACAGCTGAAGAACAAAAAGCTTTATTTCCTGTTTTTTTTCTCTCTCCACATCTCCAATGGATGTGGTGTTCAGCTCTGCTGCAGGGTCTCTTCTCATCCTTGTCCAACACATTAGAGTTAATGTTTATTTCCTCATTATTTACACACACCTATAGTGTTTGTTAACCTAATGCTATTTTTCTTCTGTGCACTTTTACCTGTAGCATTAGGTTCCTGTTTTATGGCTCTCAGCCAGTGATAACAATTCACAACAACAACAAACGGTGTTCTGGATTCTCTATCTATCTGATCTAGCTCTCTGAGTCTTTTGCAGGCTGTTCAAATGTTCCCAGGGCCAAATGTTATTATTTGCATCTAATCTATATAGCTTCCTCTGCTTTAGATGCGCCTACCTACAATTATAACTTCAGCAACAACCTGCAGTGTTAAAACAGTTAAAGTTTGCACTGTTGTTATTTGTGTATTTTAAGATTCTAGTTAAAGATTGGCGGATCTGATGTACACTGAATGCATCTGTATTGTCTCTTTTTCAATTTTCTTCTTCTCTTCCATCAGTGTGTGAGTGTGTGCGTGAATTACTTAATGTAGTGTAAAGCTCTTTGGTCAAGTCTCCTGACTTCAAAAAGCGCTACATAAGTACAGGCCATTTACCATTATTCAGCTAAAGTAGATGAAAAAACTCAAAGTTCAGTTTGAACAGATGAAAATGAACTAGCTCACGTTCATAATTCCCCTTTTCAGAAACGATGGTTACCAAACCTGTAAACAAACTAGTTCAAGTTCATTTGGTAAATTAAGCCACAATCCTACACAACAGAACCTCATATTTCATCCTTTAAATGTGTGATCATAATATGTAGAAAGAAATGGAAAATTCTTCATGCAGTCAAGGTATACTGTATGTGCAGTAAAGCCTTTATTTAGCCAAAATACACATAACTTAAGAAACATACAGGAACATTCAGGTTCTGCTGAAAAGCTCTGTATTCTTACGTTCCTCATTCAATAGCAGATATTTCAGAAGATAGCTTGGATGCTTTAACTCTATGTTAAATTTGAAGTGGAAGTGGCTGATGTACGGAATTGTTTGTTAAGTCCTGATGGGCACAGTTAGCACAGAAACATGGGCTCATTTTTGTCTGAGTGTTCCTTTGTTGGTTCATAGAAAACTGGCATCAGAAATACCAGAAGATGGGTCTGAATCATGCAGAATAGTACTAGCAGTAGACAGGCTGGTCTTTCATGCTGTTTTCCTTAACAAGTGCCGTAAAACCTTATATTATCCAATAAAATGTGTCGTAAATGAATGTGAACGTGAGCGATGTGTGTCGCTCATTATTCTCAGAGTGAACGCCGCCCTTGTTCATGTTCATTACTTCAAAACTGATCCGTTCAGTTCACTAAAAATATGAACGTATTCAGTGAACACGGTTTTTTGAACGCGTTCATGCTCATCAATGGTTAATGTTATACATGACGTTTGGATTTAATTACCACCATTGAGCCTCCCCTGAAACCAACAGCCACCACTGGCATATATCCACCCAAAATAAGCAGGAGTAAAATAAGCCCAAGAATTCCTGTGAGATTAATTTTTTAGGAGGTGTAAAGCCTTAAATTTCAAATTTCATAACCACATCTCTAAACTGAAAACATTATATAAAAAAATAACTATTTGCCCTTTTCTCAAATGAAACATTTATGCGGCCTTGGGATCAAATCTTGTTTGCATCAAGAATGGATCCATGTCGATTCAGTTGTGTAGAATAGATCCGTGTTCATATTATTCTGAATCACAGCTCAATAGTTTAAGTTTGGAAGAAAGAGCTGCTGCCAGAGGGACCAAAATTAAGCTCTTTGGCATCAAATCACACATTCCAGTGATCAGGAATGCTAGAGTCAAGCATAGAGGTGGAAATATTATGATTTAGGTGTTTTTTTCTCTAAGGTGTAGAGCATGATGTCGCTGCACTGAGTGGCCAATGGAAATGTTCCCGTATCACATAAGCTTAGCTGAGAGAGTTTGTTCCTCAGCTAGAACACTGAAGATGCTCTGATCTATAGAGAGGTATCTAAATTTGACAAAGAACAGAAAATATGAAGGTCTTTTGCAAAATGTAATAATATTTTTTGCTGTGCTTTTGCAATGCACTTTGTTTTATCGGTCAAAGGTATTTTCTAAATGAAACATATTTACTGAACAATATAATGTTTTTAATTCTCTTTTACTTTTAATACAGAACACATTTAATACAGAACACACTTTTGCCCAAAAACAAACTCTTTTACATTCTTCATTCTTTCAAATAAATTGGCCATTAATTTCCATTTTCAGCCCATTTAATTCTTTTAATCTTAACCTGTGTCAGTTTTTTCCATTTAGATTATATCCTCCACCATTTCAGTCCATTGGCTCTTTGATTAAATGTCTCCTTTCCCCCAGTTTATTTTTGTTGCCACTTTAGCTTCTATTAGCAATGTTTTAACTAAATATTAATCACTGTTATGAAAAATTACCTCTGAAAATTTACATGAATTAGTATTTCAGGTCTCACCGGAACTTCTTATCCTAAGACATTATATAAGACATCAAACATTATTTCCCAGAGCATGTGCTTTTACACATTTTAATAAAATATGTGAATGGTCCACATTGACACCTTTCACATCCTTTCCAACAATTTTGTTGCCTTTTTAGTTGTTTGGTCCTTATTTTTGGTGTTTTATGAATTTTTTTCCACCACACATACTTCCTCCACATCCAACAGCTGGAAGCAGTCAGGTAGATTTTACAGGTTTACAGGTACATTCTATATAGTGAATATTTATGTTAAACTCTCTCCATGAATTTGCCTTTAATGATGTTCAGAGGAGTTTTATAAAATGTTGAAATGATTCTAAGGTTTCTATCCCCATAAGCTATAGCTACTTCGATAACATCACTCTCCTCTGGATGGTCTGCCTGGACTGCTGTTCTACAACCATTTATCTTTGCAAGGCAACAAAATTTCCAGTTTTTCCAAATAAATTTCTGTTCAAGTTGTTGAAAAATCTCCAAAGTGCACCAAACTGTCCTTACTTAAAGAGTCAAATGCTTATATTTCAGGTAATAGAAAGTATTTTTAGAATTTCGATCATACATTTGTTTATCATAACTTTATGTCCTGAGTTTTCTAACCATGCATCTAGTTCTGGGTAAACCCTGTTCCACCCTCCACCGAATCAGAATAACACTGGAAAACAGCATACAGATTGGAGTCAAAGATCCTACAACTTCTCTGGAAACATGAGTTAACAACCAGATCCTCCTATCCAAATCTCCGAATGAAATTTCGCACTGAGCCTGAACTAATCGTTTATCTTCCCTTCACCTTCCAGTTCCGGTCCAGCTGAGTTCAGAGCAACTCTGCACCGTGCCTTATCTCTTCAATAAACCTGTTAAACTTTTCCCTGGTCTCTCTGTTTGGTCTTCTGCATTTTGGGTCTTAACTTTAGATAAGATCACGACAGTGTTTATTTATTCGATCCAATTAAGTTTTCCTTATTCCTTTGAAAATGTTTCTCAAATTCAATCATCATTTGAAATGGCTCTTCTGACATTTCTATTTCAATATCTTTCTATTTTTTAACAGTATACTGGATTACACAGTAGGTCGGACTGCTAAATATTAGAGTTAATTTAGTTTGGCTGCACCTAACTAAATTAAATAAATACATTAATAAATTATCCTTGAAATAGTTTGGATGATTTAAATAACTGTTGTCCAGTAGTTCCCACAAGTTCTCCACCTTCCTCCTGATGTTCTGACAGATGAAGATGATTGTATTAAAGCAGAAGCATCTCTAACTAAATAATGTATAAGTTTATATATGGCATCGCCTCTTCCTTCTTGTCCTTTCCTCACTTTACTCAGTCACTCACAGTTTACTACAACACAAGAAAACTATTTTCTCTCTTTATCAATTAAACCAAATTAATATTTTTTGTTATTTGTTTAACTTTTTTTAAAACTAACCTAATACAATCTAGAGCCTAACTTCCAAAATGTGCTGTGTAAATAAATACCTATTATAAATTAATCAGTGTATTAGTGTGGTGGGTGAGTCTTTGGGAGTCTAATGAGCATGCTGTATTTATCACTAGTTTAGTAAAAGGTTTTTAACTAAAATTTGTTTGAATTGGAGCTGAATGATTTTTTTCTAATAAACTGTTATATTTTGAATGTATGTTGAGGTGAATTTATT